TGCGCGGCCGTCTGATCCGTGGCGGCAACAACAACAACGACAACGACAACGACAACGACAACCATAACAACAACGACACCAACAACAGCAGCAGCAGCGGGCATCTAAACTCCCTGCGCGTTTGGTCGTCCACATATCTACTTGCTCATATGTGTCTCCGTTCACACACTGTTTGGCTCATCCCGTCTTACCTCTCCTAGCTCTTTTCTTGGAGGCTTGTAGATAACAAAGTGAAAGTGACGGTCTGAAGGTCAGACAGAAGACATTGAAGTCATCTAGAAGCTTTTGTAAGATAGTTGTGGCGCTCAGTAGACGAGGCGACAAAGGGCTATTGAGGCGACTGCCATATAGAACTCGGTGGGAAGCGTATCAGCGTCACATCCGTCAGGGCCTCACAAGCTTCCGAAAGGTACGCGCAGACATGGGAAAGCTGGCAGCAGCGGAGCTAAACCCAACTGAGGCAGAGACAACCAGGGTGTAGGGTGCAATGGCACTTTTGCTGGACAGACACCTTGTCGCGGTCGCAAGCTGCCCAAGACTCAACTTGTCTCTGCGCAAGCTGCCAGAGCACTGGAGCGGCGACAGGCTGAGGCGCCCTCTCAGCCCCGAAGTACTCTCCAGGTGTCACATGCTCGGGGCCTCCGGATGCGAAACATTGGGGGGTTGGCAGCTTGGTCGCAAGCACCGGCGAAGAATTCCCGCGCTGAGGCCGCTAGCAGTTGACATCCAATCTGGCAGCCTCGGCCGGGCTGACCTGCAGACTTTCAGAGTGCAAGCGCGGATGCCTAGCAAGCGTGGCGTTACCTTCGAATCGAAGGGTCGGCGCTCCCCAAGTTCACCGTCGTAGACCGCCACCTCTCCAGACTTGAGCTGATACACCTTGGCAGACAGCAAGGTCTGAGGATTAGGGTTTAGGGTTTAGGGTTTAGGGTAGAAGATTGACCGGCATGCGGTCTTCGAGGGCACGGCATACTCCGAGCTCGCATCCCTGCATTCGGATGCTCAATCACAATTAACCGATTCAGGCGCTGTTGCCAAATCCGTCCAGGCATTGTCCATCAAGAGGACTCAGGACTTTGCAAGCGTGCCGGCTGCACTTGTCCGCTATGACGTTCCACTTCTTGAAAACAACCTGAACATCTGCGTGCAAGTGCAGGGGCGCCACAAATCTCGAGACGATGCGGCAAGCGGACCAGCGAAGCTAACAGCATCATGAAAAACCTCAAGCAGCTCATGCTGGATCCTCAGCCAAGGGTAGGGAAGCCGCCTGCCCATTGCTCTCCACCAGCTGATCCAGCAGGCCGCTGTATTCGGCGAGCTTGCCAGACTCCAATACGTAGACCTTCATGGAAGCGACTTGCATCTCGACGGAGATGCCAGGAACCATCTATTTTCTCATTCTGCCTCGCGTAGCATCCGCTATGTAGTGTACAAGATAGGCTGCCTTCAACTTTTTTCTGACGTCGGCGGTCTGTTGCTTCCTACCACCACCACCACCACCACCACCACCACCACCGTCCCTATCGTTATCAGTCTTACGCCTTGGCCATTATTCTCGTTTGCATGATGCATAAAGTCCCTAATTATCGTTGGTGTAGTTGCTGTCACAACTTTATGACCATCGTTATGCGCAGTTTTCCGGCAATTATGGGCGAGCTTCGTCCTGGTACCTTAGTCTCAGTAGCATCATTACTGTCAGAATGCTCGCATCCACCAGTCTGCGTCAGTATGCGTTAGTGTTTCCAGAAAGCAGGATGTTCCCTAACCATTTTTGCCAGCTCCTGGATCCTATTCTTATATCAGTCGGGTACATCCATGCAGTCATACTAAACTAGGAGGTGAGAGCAAGGACCGAGAGCCAAGGCGAGGACGTATCTCAACATGGAGTTCCTGGCGGTCAGGGGATCTCATCCCTACTTGTCCAAAGGGCGAGGGGGAGGAATTCCGGAAGCTGCACAAGACATGCCAGCGAGTCTGCGGGAAGATCACATTCCACTTGGAGAACTTAACCTGCAGCTCACACCCGGCCAACTCATAGGCTATCGCTCAAGTCTAGCGGCCATCTTTTTGATTGACAAAAACGGATTTAGCACGACTGCACGAACAAAGATCCACTGCTCCCAGATAGTCTAGGACTGCTTTTGATGCTAAGATGAGGCATGCAGAGCCCCAGTGATTTCCGCATGGCCTCCTCTGCCTGCTTGAAAACAGCCTCGAAGTTCTCATCCGCTAATCTCTTGATGGCAGGAATCCTTCAGCTCCCATCAATGGCATCACGTCTTGCAGGGAGGCCCTGAGCTTTCTGCTGCCGTACTAAGTGGGCCCGGATGGATCTGTGTAGTCTCGCTGCCTCGCCCGAACCGCCGTGGGAAAGGCATCACGGACGATGTTCAAAAGACTCAGAGAGCTCACCATCTCTTGTCTCTGCGCGAGTTCTTGGCCAGCAGTGTTTACCAGCTCCTAGTGGAGCCGAGCGGACCGGCTTCTGAGACTACCGTTGCTACGGGTCTTCTGCAAGACAGAGCTGCTCCTCATAGCTGATGGAGAGCGTCATGACCTCCAGGCTGTAAGCGAGACCCCGAGCACTGGGTAAAAACTGTTGCTCAGGGCCATGCCACATCACTGTCGGCTGTCACAGTGAAGCCCATCGGTGCTTCAAAAAGCCTTGGAGAGGCAAGCTGTCTCGACACATTTTCGGGCTTTAGCTCTGCCCCCGAGCAACCGACAATCCCCTCATCCCGAAGTACTGCCCAGGTCCCAAGCGCAGTTCCTGGATCATACAGCATGCGCCGACACAAGCACGAAACCATGACACCCTCAAGCCTCCGCAGCAGCTCCGGACCGGTTCCTGCATTGCAGAGCCAGAACAGCCTGCATGAGCCGTGCACGCTCCAAAAGCCTCTTGGGAGGGATCATGACGATGTTTCCCTGCTCGATGATGTACATTCGAGACCTCACACCATTCGCGAGGTAGGGAACTTGCAGAGCCTTCGGAAGACCCGAAGCGCTGGGTCGACGACGTGATGTGATTTTGGCCAGCCAGGAGTGCTCCTTTGTGCCACCTTGTTCAATGAAAGCTGCGCTGCGAGATTTTGCAAGCATATTGGCTGTGTCGCCACTCTTCGTTTGTCGCTTGATGCTTCCAATAGTACGAATACTAGTGCCACAGTTGCTGCTACATGTCGTGCTGCCGTTTTTGCAGCGCCACGGGTTCTTTGCATTTTGCTTACTATTCTTGTAGAAACCTTAAAGCCTCAGCCCAAAACCCGACGCTGAACTCGTAGCCCGAAACGCCACACCCCAAACCCACACAACCTTAGACCCCCAGCCCCTGAAAGCCTAAACCCCAAACCCCCAAACCCTGCACCCAAGACCTCAACACCCCGAAAGCCATCAGCAACTCGGGCTCCGCACTTCTGGCTCTTCAGGGCATGGGCGACTTTGGCCTTGCTTGCCCCCAGCACAAGAAAGACGTGTCATTCAGGATTCTTGCTATTTTCGCTACTCTGCCTGTTAGTATCAGAACCGATAGCCCGAGGCTTCTTGGGTTCAGCTGCGTCTTGTTATTGTTTGCATTATTCGTGGTGCGTGAGGGTTTGATATCGATGATATGTTGTAGATGCTCACCTCACCGAGCGTGTTGTTGATATAGTTGTGGTATTGCCAATGCAGAACTCACACGCGCAATTGTACACAATGTAGAGCGGCGCACCCTTCCTTTTCTCACTCGCCTTGGCTGACGTTGAGTCTTTGCAG